TCGTAATATGAAAATTTTATACGACATATGTTTAACATCCCCAAAAATTGTATTCTTGCTGCTGCCTAGTTCTTGAGTGACATCGATTTGTTATTCTTCTAATGCTTCGTATTTTCATCATGTCTTGAAATAAATATATTATTATGCAAAAAAAAAAAAAAATTGCGGAAATTTCGCGGAAAATCCGCGGAGCTGCTCTGCGGAAATTCCGCGGAGCTACTTCGCGGAGTTTATCGGTAATCTTTTCACGTGGGCTGTGTTAACAGTGTTAATTTAAACTCTGATGACATTTTAAACTTCTGGGAAGGTAACGGGAAATTAACAACGTTAACTTTTAAACTTATCTTAGTTAACTTTCTATTAACTTTCTGTAAAGTTCGGTGCTATCTGGGATGAAATTAATACTAATAATGAAATTAGGTAATAGTAATGACTTACGGCTCAGGATCATTGCTCTCTAGTTCACGAATATTTTTGGCTGTTGTAAATCTTATATATTTAAAAAAAATGATTTTATTTTCGAAATAATCTGGACCTAACGGAATCTACAAAAGAAATATTAATTAAAAATTTCTTAATTTTTAATTTTTCAAAAAATTTAATTCATTTAAAACATTTTTTAACTCAAAATGTTTTAACCCCTTGACTGTCGACGAGATTTCCACTAGTTGGGCCAAAAGTGTGTTGAAAAAAATTTTAATGAATTTTTATGAAACTTGGTATCTTAAGGTTTTCAGGGTCGCTGATTACGAACCTAAGGTCGGTTTTTCAAAATTCAAAATGGCGGATCCAATATGGCGGACGACAATTTGAAAATATAATGTAATTTTCTTAAAAATGGGTATTCGGGGGTTTTCGGGGTCGCCATCTTGAATTTTAAAAAACTGATATCAGATTCGTAATCAGCGACTCCGAAAACCCCTGAGTAACCATTTTCAAGCGAATTGTATCATATTTTCAAATTGTCGTCCGCCATATTGGATCCGCCATTTTGAATTTTGAAAAACCGACCTCAGATTCGGAATTAGCGACCCCAAAAACCCCCGAGTAACCAGTTTCAGAAATATTTGAGATGTTTTTCATCACTTTTTTTAAGTTGCGCATATATGCGTAAAGAGCACTTTTGGCCAGTTTTAGTTTTTCGCATATATGCGTTAGCGACAGGCAACGGGTTAAATCAATCAAATAATTGAAAGAAATTTTTTGCTTCTTATAATGAGGAAGCAAAATGTTCGATAAATGAAAATAAAAGAACTCCCTATTTATTTATTTTTAAATGCTCATAACTTTTCAATTGAACTTTTTATAAACTTCATGCAAAAAATTATAAAATTAAAATTTACTAATATTTTTTGTAATTTACAGGTTAAAATCTTGTTTAACAAAAAATTTTAGGACTTTTTCACCATAAAAATAAAATTTTCAGGTATTGTCACTATGATTTTCGTTATCAGCGCATCAAAATACATAAAAGTACGTAGTATAAAAAAAGTAGGAGATATTTTTAAGAAATTCAATATTTCAAATAATTTCGAAAATATTAATTATTAATCTGCAATGCCTGCTCCATATATTATCAATGGAATTTCACTGACTAGTTGTGAAAATTACTGCAAATTAGTGTTTAATTATATTATCATACCTCATCATTTATATGTTCATCACTTGAATTAATTTCTGAAAAAAACGATTCTGAATAACCAATTACAACTTTCATTGCCTTGAGTTTTTCCTTAACCAGGTTCTTTGTTTCATTATTCAACCAATTGGAGTTCGACATTTCCACTTCAATTTCATGTTGGATTTCTTTAGCCATGGTTGTCGCCTATTCCAATCAGAAATTAATATATTTCATTACTTGTGACACTGTTGTCAATGTAAATTATTTGTATTATATATTATTGTATTTTAATCATAACTTACGGATTCTTTTGTCGTGTTAGGAAATTGACGTTTTATGAATTCAAAAGACGTTCCGAAATTGAATGGCAAACTATTTAAACAATATTCCCACCTAACAATTTGAAAATTTCAATTTATAAATAGATGAACAACAACATATATGTTTTTTGGACAGTTAAAATGAACTAAAATGCACTTTTGCGTTATTATGGTTTAAAACTCGTTATTTGGTGATTTTCAAAATCGTTGCTTATGAATTATTGAACAAATCCGTAATCAGCGCCCCTAAATACCTCCAGATAATAAATTTCAAGCGAATCCGATTAATATTCAAAAAATTCCGATATTTTGGATCCTTCCTTTTGAGTTTAAAAAATCTAATGTCAGAATCGTAATAAACGATCCTAAAAACTCCGCGGACTAACGAGTTCTGACTTTTTTAGAAAATTTCTAAATTATCTAACCTTTCTTTCATTTTGATGTTTCCTACATTAGTTTTCACTGTCTCATAAAAGAATTGTACTATTTCTTTGTCTAAATATGGAATGGATTCCTGTATAAATTTCCAATGAATGTAATTGACTAAAACAGATTTATATATTTTAATTAAAATTTCATATTATTTAATTTAAGGTTTATTAATTTAATTAGTTAATTTAATATATTTAATAAAATTAACCCTGGCGGATTCGATTTGCGTAATGTCTACTTAACTAAGCGGACTTTAGGTAGACATTAGGTAGACATGTAAAAAAACGTATAAAAAAGCTATTAATCGACTTATTATGATAAAAAAAAGTTGATAAAAGGGTAAATGAATGTTTATAGAGTAAATTCGTACAAAATTTGTAATTAATAAAGCAATAAATAATTAATAATGAATGGAAATGTGCGCGAGGTACCTGATCAGTTTAGCTGTACAATTATTTTCGTGCTATTTTCATGAAAAGAATATAAATTAACTGCAAAAACAATTGATATTTATAAAAAAGTGTAAAATTGATTTAATTTGAGTGTTTGCAATACGAATTATTAAATAATAATTAAGTTTTTATCAAATGTGAATAGTGTTGTGAAAACCTGTGAAAACTAATGAGTTACTACATTACCGATCGCATATGATAATAAAAAGTTCTCGATGAGTGTAACAAAAAAGCTGCAATCATGTCCGTAATTTTGGACGAGAAACAATTATGAAATCAATAATTATTTGTATAACTTTATTCTGCATTTTAAAATTCACTTTTTATTTTCTTTCAAAGCAAAAGCATGGAAGAAAACATGCTCGCACTGTATTGTAAAAACTGGTGGCGCCATCTCTCATATGCGATCGGTAATGTAGTAACTCATTAGTTTTCACAGGTTTTCACAACACTATTCACATTTGATAAAAACTTAATTATTATTTAATAATTCGTATTGCAAACAATAAAATTAAATCAATTTTACACTTTTTTATAAATATCAATTGTTTTTGCAGTTAATTTATATTCTTTTCATGAAAATAGCACGAAAATAATTGTACAGCTGAACTGATCAGGTACCTCGCGCACATTTCCATTCATTATTAATTATTTATTGCTTTATTAATTACAAATTTTGTACGAATTTACTCTATAAACATTCATTTACCCTTTTATCAACTTTTTTTTATCATAATAAGTCGATTAATAGCTTTTTTATACGTTTTTTTACATGTCTACCTAATGTCTACCTAAAGTCCGCTTAGTTAAGTAGACATTACGCAAATCGAATCCGCCAGGGAATTTAATATATATAGGGGGGAGTCAGCATGGTTGGGCCACCCCTGTGTTCATGGCTCTAGGACACTGGCGCCCTCTATTTTATTATGCAAACACTTGCTAACTTTTCACGTCAGTTACAGTAAAATGCAATTGCAATAAACATTTAATTTTTCAAGAAAACCAAAATAAGTGCTATAATGACAACCCAAAACTTTTTCACAGTGACAGAAAAGTCGATTAAATAACAGAAGGGACAGTCCACTGACTTTTGTCTAATAGTGGTTGCGACCAAATTTTAAAAAAATCTAGTTTTAATATATGTGAAACTCGATGATTCCCTGAGTTCATTAACCATAATATTATGGTAAAAATTTTATTCCCATTAAAAATATTAAATATCAAAAGTAGGAGGTTCACAATGTGATTTTGTAACCTTAAATTTTTCAATTTTTTTAAAAACGCTATTATTAAAAAACTATTAAAAATTAGATGTTGGAACTCACCAAAAACATAAATCACTTTATTCTGCACAGAGGAACGAAAGAATTATTGCAAAAATTTATTATTTTTGGATGATATACGATTTTAAAAAAATTTTATTTAAATATTCTCAAGATTTTTATTTACTTATAACTTTTTTGTTGGTGCTCCAAAAAAATTGAGGTTTTGGACAAAGATTTTTCATAATATTCTTTACCTTCTATTAAAATCTTACGAAGGTGTTTTGCTTTGTTTTGGAGATATTAATTTTAAAAAAATTTTATGTAAAAGGTTAATTAAAAGACTTGAAGTTAACTAACCAAATTCAAACTGCTCCATTTTTTATAAAAATATATTAAAATGTAGCGATTTGAAATTGGTCAGTTAACTTCAAGTCTTTTAATTAACCTTTTTAAATAAAAAATTTTGAAAATTAATATCTCCAAAACGAAGCAAAACACCTTCGTAAGATTTTAATAGAAGGTAAAGAATATTATAAAATATCTTTGTGCAAAACCTCAATTTTTTCACAGCACCGACAAAAAAGTTATAAGTAAATAAAAATCTTGAGAATATTTAAATAAAATTTTTTTTAAAATCGTATATCATCCAAAAATAATAAATTTTTGCAATAATTCTTTCGTTCCTCTGTGCAGAATAAAGTGATTTATGTTTTTGGTGAGTTCCAATATCTAATTTTTAATAGTTTTTTAATAATAGCGTTTTTAAAAAAATTGAAAAATTTAAGGTTACAAAATCACATTGTGAACCTCCAACTTTTGATATTTAATATTTTTAAAGGGAATATAATTTTTACCATAATATTATGGTTAATGAACTCAGGGAATCATCGAGTTTCACATATATTAAAACTAAATTTTTTTAAAAATTTGGTCGCAACCACTATTAGACGAAAGTCAGTGGAATAACCCAGAAGGAATGAGCAAACAACAAAATAAAATGACAAAAATTGTTCATTACAATGTAATTTAAAAGTTTCAAGCATTATTTAGCGTTATTGTTATTATGTTTGTTTAACGTGTTTTTGTTTACGACGCCGTTCGTCATGGTTGGGCCACCCACCAATTTTGTAATATTATCATACGTCCAGACATCGAAAATTCAATTTTTTATATAAAAAAAAGAGTCAAAGATGCCATTACCATTAAAAAAAATTGGTCTTAATAAATTTTGGTACTATTTTTTAACTTTTTAGACCAATTTCGCGAATAATCGGATTTTGGTTCAGGCGGTTAATTTTATTTTATCATTTTCAGCTCAATTTCAGTATTTTTCTGCCATTTGCGGGTCCTTTTTGGTCAATTTCCTTCATTTCATATTGATTTACTACAGTGGCCCAAGCATCAAGCCCTGGCCCAACCTACACGAAAAAACTTTTTTTTTTAAATGCCTGTAACTTTTACACTTTTGACCCAATCATTTTCTGATGTTCAGAAGAAACATTCCACTTTAGTGTAGCTTTCCAACCATATACGAGAGAATTTAAAATTTACCCTAAAACGAAAGTTATGGGCACAAGTCAAAAACTGGTCCAACCATGCTAACTCTCCCCTACCTAATTTATAAAAATATTTTCTTTTTATTGTCAATACGTACCAATTGTTCTTTGAGGTGTTTTTTCTAGTAGTTGACTTAATTTATAAAAGTAAGGTTTCTCAAGTACAACTATTTCTTCTGATTCATCAATAAAAACATCAGTATTATTGTAAAAGGCTTGAATTATTTCAAGCCAATTAATCTAAGAACAATAAATATAAACTTAAATTATTAACAAAAAAAATAATAATCATAGTAGAATGATACCAATTTTAATACAAAATTAAAGAGTTAAATAAATTTTTGTTTGAGCTAAATATTGCTAATAACAAGAAATAACATTTTTTTACCTTTGATATCGTGCTTTCATTATTATTGTTATGATTATAAAAATTCTGAAAATCGCTAATTCGCATTATTTCATATCCAAATTCTCTTCTTTCATTTAGAGTTAATTTAATCTAATAAGAATAAATTGATTAATAATACACTTTTCATTTCTTCAAATATAATTTGAAATTAATGCGATTATTACCTTCTCCAAGGATTTAATAAACTCAAACAAATTCCTATACTGTCAATTTCGATTTCTTTTTCGTCCCTCATTCCTTCGGATTCTGAATATTTAGAAATTGCTTTGTTTAGAAAATTTTGAAATTTTGTAATATCATCATCATCATCGTTATTTCCATGACTGTATGAAATATATTGATTATAATAATGACTACTTTCCATATCAATCAAAAAATTAGTGTCAGGCAGAAACTTATTTTCTTGAGTAATCTGCAATATTATAAAATTTGTAATGTACATTTTATTATCGTAAAATTGACAATTTGCTGTTTCATACTCTCTAAAACTGAATTAGTGAAAATTTCACTGATTTTAATTAAGTGATTTACTTTTCATAATTTCAATCAGTGACTTTTACTAAATTTGACCAACTCAGCTCAATATGTATTTATATTTATTATTGTAAAAGATTAATTGCTTCTTACCCCAATCATTTTAAGTGTGGAATTTTTTGGATTATGTGAAGTACCTATAGTAAATAAACCGTATGCTCTTATAGTATCGACATAATGAAAAACAACATCTTGCCAAGTGATATTTTTTTTTCCCCATTCAGTTGTATTCATAACCATTGGCCAACCACCAATCTTGTCTATAATTTTCTTCAACGGTTCCAATCCTTTTTTCTTAATTCTGTCTAAAATTATTCATAATATATTTTTTAATTTCAAGTTTTCATTAAATATTATTGTTATTTCATTGAAAATAAAAATTATTTGATTTAACAACAATCGGCTATATTTATTATCAAAGCAGATATTTTCTGCAATGAATAATTATTATCGTTCTGAAGGTGTCTGAGTTAAATAATAAATATTTGATTGAAATACAAAAAAAATTATTGATTAAAATTAATTTTATTTGTTTTAATTAAAAATTACTTGCTTCCAATTAAATGGTGTTTAGAAAAAAAATGTTCTTGAAAATACATAACGAATCAGGTATATAAACTTATTTAAATTAAATATAATTTTTGTTTTCAGTGTACGGATAAAAATATTTATGAACAAAATGTTTTGTTGTCAAAGAAGAATTTTCTTATCACTGAAAATTGTTGAACATGAATTAGACTCATAAAAAAATTAGTAAATTTTATAAATGATAAGAAGGAAAAATTAATTAATATTGGAACAACTAAAGTTTTTCATCATTAGGTATACAAATTTAAATATTGAAATTTCATAAAATAATTACCTTCATCCATACAAGAATTGTACCATTTTTTCTCGAAAATTAATGGCTCAATATCCTCAGGACTTAGTTGCTTTTCTATAATTTCTGAAAAAATACCATAATGAAGAGTAAAAAAAATATAAATTTCCTTATACAGAAAAAACATAATTTCAAATTGAGTACAAAATTTACACTCAATTTGATTTTGATAATCGAGAATTTTTATTTTTAAAACTGACTGTATAAAACTTAAATAATTTTCTCCTTTTTCCTAAATTGAAACGGGTACTATATTAAATTTTTAAATAAAAAATCTCTGTATATAGCGCCATTGCCCCTCTCTATCCTACCTTTTAGAATAAATTTTCTCTCCTCTGTACTTATTTTTAATAAATTCCAGTTTTGTTTGCCTTTAGGAACCGGATAATTAGATTGCCATGAACCACATACGTAGGAATAAAAATCATCGCAAGGATTTACGCTTTCATTCATTCCCTTTTTAATTAATTCCGCTGTAAAACACAATATTATTGTTAAACACATTTTCAATAATTGTGTGCGTAGTTTAAAAATTAAAGGAAAATTTATGTTTTTGAAACATTATCAAAAATAATGTTCAATTAGGTATGTGACGGCTTTTTAGGTATATTGTTTTTGATATTTAGTGTATATTTAAATCATTATTTGAAGAAACTAATACGAAATTTTTTACTGCATTAAAAAGGTGTATGTCTCTTGCTAAAACAGTGTTTTTAATAGCATTTCTATATTAAAATAAGGTAAAACTACCAATTATTATGATTCAGAAATAAAATCATTATTTATTTATTTTAATTATACAGCACATAAATAAACAATGACAAATAATTAAAAGTTGAAAATATTCAACTGAATCTAACATCACTGAAAATTAAAAGGCATTAAAATAAGCTGCAACGCTTATTATTTTAATCCAATTTTGCTTATTTTAATCCATTTTGGTATTAAAATAAAGCAAAATTGGATTAAAATAATAAGCGTTGCAGCTTATTTTAATGCCTTTTATACCCTTCAAATTTTGATTGGACACAAATATAAGCTTTTTATGCTTAAGTATTTCATATACATTCGTACAAAAAATTACTGGATTTATGGGACAAAGGTGCATCATAAAATTCATGTCTCATATTTGGTACAAATTTGTTATTTACAATTTTATCAATAATTTGTTATTTTAATATAAAAATGCTATTAAAAACACTTTTTTAACAACTAAAGACGTACACCTTTTTAATGCAGCAAAAAATTTCGTATTATTTTCTTAAGTTAATGGTTCAAATACAATAAATCTCAAAACCTATCTGAAAAGTTGTTCCATAATTGGTACTTTTACCAAATATTTGTTTTAATTTTCCAATATGAATAATAATAAACTTACCTAATGAGTGGCATTCCTTAGTTTCACAAACTTCCGAAATATTATTTTCAACATCACTTCCGAAAACAAGTGTTTTGTCTTCATTTATTATTAATAAAATTATTAAGTGGACGGCAAAAATTCTAGAACAATAAAATTTAATTTGACAATTAAATTTAATTATTTTTATATTTTAAAAATATAGAAAATGTTAAAATATAAATAATTATAAATCATGAATTTAAGCGGAGGAATAGATGAAATTTCAACACATTGAAATTAATGTTGTTAAGAGGTGACAATTTTTATCTGGCATTATTTGGGATCTAAAATTATTGTGAATTATTAAAATTGTTAATAAATTTTTTGTTGACATTTTAGAAATTTTATTTTTTGAAAATATTAAAATTTTTAAAAATCCATACGATTGATTGTTCAGAAACATGAAAAAAGTATATATAAAAAAAATATATTTACAAAATTCGTCTGGATGATTAATGTATTTTATAATTAATTTATATTATATTATTTTATAATTAGAATGAAATGTTTCATTATACTCACAAGTAATAAATATTGAACATGTTCCATAAATGAATAAAGTATGAGAAAAAATAATTAAAAATTGCCCTAATGTACTTTCATAGAGCGGTTCAATTCAACAATATACTCATCGCGTTTTTACTAGAATCGAGTCATATATATATATATGCCTTAGATTACCCAACATCTCACTAGCACTATATTTAATTTAAACTAAAAATTTTTATGAAGAGTAAACATGACATATATTTGATGTAAATTATTATTTATTTTTTTTTTATTCCACTCTTTTCAAGTGTAATAAAATTGTTACTAATAATAGTTCTCAAATAAAATATGTATATGAAATATTTCACATGAAAACTAAGATTGATGTCATGGAATTTTTAAAATTTCTGTTAATTAATAGTGATTTGTGTACTTATAACAAAATTTTGTCTATTTTATTGTTTGGATTGATAGGATTCAGTTTAATGTAGAGACATGAGAGTAACTTAAAATTTATATAAAGAAATAAATTTTTAATATTTTTGAACGTATCGGTAATCATGTTTGTATTAAAGAATTTTAATCTATTTTTTTTAAATATATTAAAATTTTTAAAATTAAAAAATTAAAAAATTAAAAAATTTAAAGTTTAAAGTTTATTTGAAAAAAATGTTATTTTGTACAAATCAATTTATATTTGGAAATAAAATTTTACTTGTTGGTAAATAAAATTTATTTGAAAGAATAAAGTATATTTTAATTAATTCTGACAACAATTTTATTTTTTTTCTCTAAGTCGTAGGTACGCATTGTTGTTCAGTTTATAAACTAATTAACTGTGACATGTTTCAGAAAAACTTTATTAAATAATATATGAGAGAATGTAATCTCTGCGGGGATAAAATAAATTGAAAAATAAAATAAAATAAGTGGGGTGCGGAAAGATTTTGAGGGTGGATTATTTACTGGACATAGAAGAGACTTGAAAGAGAAATTGCATGAAAGAGGATGGTCCTGGGATGACATTCTCCTCGACATATAACATATGTGGATGACCAAAATAATTTATATATATATATATATATAAGGTAAGCAAAATGTACCTGAATTAATTGAACTAAATAATAAAACAATATAATAATAAATTTTTTTTTTCCTGTAGAAAATTTCAGTAAAATTTTACGAAAATTTATTCTTTCCCTCTTTTTCTTAAAAAAATCTGTAGGTACACAGCTTGGTACACAGAAAATTAAAAGGCATTAAAATAAGCTGCAACGCTTATTATTTTAATCCAATTCTGCTTATTTTAATCCATTTTAGTATTAAAATAAGCAAAATTGGATTAAAATAATAAGCGTTGCAGCTTATTTTAATGCCTTTTAATTTTCTGTGCAGGTATATACAGAGGTATAGATAAGAAATTGATTAAATTTCTAAAAATAATAATTTAAAATTTTATTTGTTTTATATAAGAATCATTCTACGGCGCATAGTGAATTGTTCTTTAATAATAATAATAATAATAATGAATAAACAAAAACTTCTTTTTCTTTTTTTGCTTCTATCATAAAGAATGAAGAGCCCATACGAGAAATCTGCACGTACAAATGCGTGGGCGAATATACATATATATTTCCGCGCCGTTATTCATTTCTCAATATATATTTTCGAAGTCTTCTATTTATTATTTCGGTCTTAAAAGTAATAAAGATGCATTGAATGAAGCGGTAAATTGAAGATGAAAATGGCTTGGAAACGAAATTTAAACTGTTTTAATATAAAATGCGACCTCTTTTTTTCTACTTTATTATACCTATTTATATGAAATCATGCATATATATATTATTACATATCTTCCCGACTATTTTTGTTTTAATTTAGAATATATTGAGGCGCTTTAAAATTAAATAAAAAAATAATTAAAACTTTTGTGAAGCGTCACTTTCATCAAATATAAATAAGAAATATATGTATTTTCATATTCCAATGTCATTTATAATAAATGTCAATTATTAAAAAAAAAATTCTGTTAAAATTTTATTAGAACATTGCATCATTTTACATTTAGAATTTTTATCAATTTTTTTTTATCTAACTTTATAATTTTTAAGTTAAATAGAATTCAAATTAAATTAAATGTTATATTAACTATTAATTTGATAATGTAAACATTTTATGTGTCACTCAGTTTTGGAAAATAAAAAATATCACTTTTTTTAACAAAAATAAATATTACGCGCATCATAAAATGTAACAGCACACAGTAAAAACAAAGTCTTAAACGGCGTTTACATTTTAAATTATGCCCATGTATTTTGCATAAGTCTGTTCTTGTCTATAATTGATCTGACTCCGTTTACACCTTAATTTCAGCAGTAAAAACCTGGGCTCATTTTTGCTGCGATTAAAAATGAGCCAATGCCAAACGACATAGAACGTGGCGCCATCTACTTGACTCATTTTTGCTGCGGATCAAAATGATCCTACTGGCTCGATCATTTTTTGAGCCCGCGGGTTTTTACTCTAAGTATTTTTATTACCTTTCAAAGAACAATTTTTATAATAAAATCATTTAATTTAATATTATAGAAGCAATCTTATAACAAAAATTCTATAATTATATTTAGAAAAAGAAATATAGAATAATTAAAAACAATTATTTTTCAAAACTTTTTCTAGTCTATATTGCAGAAATAAAAATTATATAAAAATTATGAGCAAACAAAATGAAGTATTTTATTATTATAAATATTTATTAAAATTATTTTTAATTCATATTGCAGTATTAAAAATTATTTTAAAATCAGGATGTCCAGCAAGACTTAAAGAAAAAAATTCCCTGACTTTTCTCTGACATTTTTTTTTCGTGACTACTCGTTAGTGATCGGTCAAACCCGATCGGACTCACTCGCTTAAGTTAGTCAAACTTCACTGAGAAAAAAAATTTAGTGTTTGCAACAAAATTGTTTGGTTAGGCAATTTAGGTTCTTGTAACCAAATTTTGGTTGGCTGAAACAAAGTCGTAGGGTTATCTCAACCAAACAATTGGTTAGGCGAACAAAATTATTTGGTTGAACATTTTTAAATTCCAACCAAAATTTAGTTACGACAACAAAATAATTTGGTTAACACAACAAAATAGTTTGTTCTGAAATACCAAATGATCTTTTGTTGTCCTAACCAAAATTTGGTTGCGACAACCAAATAATTTGATTCGCTCTCAGCTTATAGCTTAAAAGGACATAGTTAGTTTAAATCTCTCACAAGGATGGGTAGTCCAGTGGTCAGAGCTTCCGACCTTCAGTTTTAAAACACAGGTTCGATCCCAGGCGGAGGTGACATTTTTCAAAGTCCATAAATATTTCAATTGGATAAATATAAATTCAATGTTAAATTGATAATAAATAAATAATAAGATAAATAAAAAAGATAAAAAGAAAAGAGATAAGGTAGCATAAAATTTTTAATTTTACAAATAAAACATTTTTGTTGACCTAACAAAAAAAATTTGGTTGAGCTAACCAAACCAAATTTTTTGGTTGACTCAAACAAATAGTTTGGTTGCTTAAATATTAACAAAATTTTTTTGTTGGCCCAATCAAATTTTGGTTGCTCTGACTAAACATTTTTCTCAGTGTTCGGTGATTTTTGATATTTTTCTATCATTTTTTGAAAGAAAAAGTTTCTATTAGTATTATTATATGTAAATATAAGGAATGAAACTATTTTAACACCAATTCACTTTATTATCGACTATATTAAAATGTAAAATGATTATACCAGTTAACGGAATTCTAAATACAGAAAATGAAATATTTTATTCTAATATACTTGTTACTGAGGGCGTATTAGAATTTAACATTTGAAGTTTTCATAATACAATTATGAATTTCGCAAAAACTATTCTAATTTTTGTTTCTAAATATATTAAACTTTATTATTTTTATTTTAGGCATTCTTAAAAAATAGTGATGAAATCTATAAACACCCCAAAATCTGCAAAATCTTCCGCAATTGTAACTTAATATACTAAATATGAGTGTCAAAATATTAAATATATCCTTACAAGATTTCTTTCCGTTTATCACTTTTGAATCGAATCTCGATCCACATTTTGTGACAAAAAAAAATTATAAGTTTCATTAATTACATTAAAATTTTCAGAGTGAGGGTGTTCGAAAAAATTGGCTAATTCGGATGTACGACGTGTGATTTCATCAACTGTAAATAGATACTTGTGAAATACATTTCTACACATTTTTCTTATTGAATCCAGATCAATCCCATAGTTTGCATATTGGCTCTTTATCACATTTAAATGCATCACTAAATCCTTTTACGTTTGCCATGAGTCCATTCATTCTCAAATTCGATTTTGGATGAACATCAGTATTTCTTCTCGCTAAATATTCTGGTGTTCCGCTCTCACAATCTCCCTATTAAATAAATTAAATTTTTTTGTAATTGCATATATCATCATAAACATTGTGAAACCATAAACAAGACTTACAATAACCACAGAAACAAAAAACAATTGATCTGAATCCAAGTTTTCTAATCCTGGTAAACGTTTATCTTTAATATTTTCTTTCTTCATTTTTTGCTTGTAAGCTCCATAAGCTGCAATCAACCCTCCGGTATCAGCAATAGTTTCACTTTGAGTTAGTTTTCCGTCTACCTAATTTACATAAAAAATTTTATTTTTCAATTATATCTCATTCAAAGTGTTGTTTGAATAATATTCAATTAAGTTTCATTTACTTTATACTTATTATAATGATCCACAAAACATTTGGCCCTCTTCTCATATTCACCAATCATTTCGTCTGACCACCAAGGAATTCTATTTCCATTTTTATCATATTTTCGTCCTAATGTTAAAAATAATATACACATTTAAAATAAATAATAATAATAAATATTTTTGATAATTTAGAAATTTTATTTTTTTAAATAATGAAAAAATTTTTCTAATCTATACGATTGATTGTTCAAAATTATAAAAAAAGTGTAAAAACAAATTGGTTATAAAAAATAGTAAAAATTGTTAAAGAAGTTCAATTTTAAAAGAATTGACAATGCAATTAATCAAAATTTACATATACATGTAAAGTTACCAGAAATCTTCTTTAACTTACTGTCTATTGCATAACGAGCAGCTTTTTTTTTTAAGAAAAAAGTTTTTTTTGTAGATTGTTTATAAAAAAAATTGATTTTTTTTCAAAATAGTCACAAATTTTAAAATAATTGCTTTTTTTTATTTTCTCTTTGTCATGCAAAGCGTATTTGTGTACTTAAACGATAAAGATTTGATTTTTTGATTATGGTTAATATTTGAGACCAGTAGCCAATCTCCATTTTGCAATATTTTTAATTTAAAAAATTATTATACATAGCTTATATTGTACACTTCAAGGTATGCTTTATTTCAATTCAATAAACTTTACCACTTTTTCTTATAAAATATCTTGAAAAAACGTGCATTTATACGAGTTTCCCCTCTTAAATCATTAAGCAACCGAGTATAGATGATTTTTTCTACAATGGTCTTAATTATACTATATACATAATATTTAAAAATATACGTGTATCAAATTACCTTCGTCATCAAATCCATGAGTCATTTCGTGACCTATTGAATAACCTATATGTCCGTAATTTATCGCACTGTTGAAATAAAGAGGAAAGTTTTTTTAAAAATACGGTTAATTAAGGACCAGTTTCATCAACTCCGGTTAAAAGTTAATCAGCGATTAAATCCCTAACCGACCAATCATGAGCGGTTAAATTGGCTTTAATCGCTGATTAACTTTTAACCATAGTTGGTGAAACCGGCCCTAAGAATTTTTTAAATACAAATATATGAGAAAATTCGTTAAAATAATAAGTACAAGTTATTAAAAGAGTGTTTTTTTAATAAATTGAAACTTTTTACTCTCTAAATTTGAATCAGTGAAATTTCACTGACAAAATAGTTGGAATTTAGCAACTGAATTATTTCAGTAAGATTTTCACTAAAATTCAATCACATTTCACTGAAAATCAGTTGAATTATTACTGATTTAAACAGTCAAATCTACATTATCATTAATCGGTAAAACAGATTTGACTGTAAAGAATTCTACTAATTTTCAGTGAAATATGACTGAATTTCAGTGGAAATTTTACTGAAATTGTTGAGTTGCTAAATTCCAACTATTTCATTAGTAAAATCTCACGGATTTAAATTTAAAAAGTATAGTTCTATTCATAAAATAGTGAAGCGTTAATAATTTATTAATTGAAAATATAGAAATACTTACAAAGGTAAAGTCGAATTATATATGGGAAGTAAAAGTAGAGCAGCTGCAACATCTTTTCAACAAATTAACATTAATATTAAAAAAAATTACTTATATCTTTAACTATATTGCAAAATTTTTTAAAATTATATACTCTAAAATTATTATTTTTGGATAAATTTGCCAATTACTGCGCGAATTAAATGTTGAAGTGTTATTTATAGATATATTTATACAAAAATTAAAATCCCAAAAATATAATATATTTGAACAAATTAATCAAGGTTTAATTTTAAAGAATAAAATTAATAATAATATAGTTTAAGCCCTTCGCAGTCTAGTGTAAAAATCATCGTTTTTGGACCCAAAACAATAAAAAAAAAAGTTCCCAAAAAAATATTACACGGAGAGAAATAGATGGTAAGAACTTATGATCTTAAGATGGTAAAAAGTAGATGTTATCCGGTATACAATCATTATGCTACTCGGTACTATTAAAGATGTTACAAAAAGTATTGTTATATGTTACTCACTACAATCTAGATAGTAACAGATAGAATCTAGATAGCTGTCCGTATATGTAAGATCAAATATGGTACCTGGTACTG